GGGGGGGGGGGGAAAGTGGCAGCGTTTGGCGAACGCAATCGAGATGTTTGGACTGCAAGCTCAGCAACTTTCGTTGAAACAAAGCGGGTCGTTTAACGGGGCCACGTTGCATTCAATAGCACCAGTGGTCGGCCGGGATTACGCGAGCAATTATACATAACAATCGCTATAAAAACGTAGTCAGATCATCCTCTGCTACTTCTTTCCCACTCGACACACAGGTTGTCGCGCTTAGATCACGGCGCGGGATCGTACAATGGAATAACTTTAATACTTCGGACCAATTCAGGTCTAATTGCGGAAAAAATCATGCGCAATATTAATCAATGAAATCGATCGTTTCGTTTTGTTCCTTAATTCTCGGGGCAGAGACAGCTTAACGAATGATAAAGGAATTTTTTACTTCGTCAATCACAATATCTATGTGATGTAATGATTTACCAAATAAGTTATCAAATTTATAACGAAAGAATCTGTAATATATTTGCAGACACAAGTTACAAATAGCTTTTGATATTCGAGATAAAGACAGGAACCAGATACGCCGCCTGTTACATTTTCTATCCGATTGATAAAGGAATTTTTTGCTTCGTCAATCACAATTTCTATGTGATGTAATGATTTACCAAATAAGTTATCAAATTTATAACGAAAGAATCTGTAATATATTTGCAGACACAAGTTACAAATAGCTTTTGATATTCGAGATAAAGACAGGAACCAGACACGCCGCCTGTTACATTTTCTATCCGATTGCATAATCGTGGATTACATAATGAGAGCCTTGAACGCGTTCGCATGAGCTGGAGTAGAGCCTGGAAAAAGAATGAAAATGAAGAGAAAAGAGAGAATCGAAATCCATACGTGGTGCATGATTTTCAAGTTCATTGCGATACTCGTGATTTTTTCATCCTCCAAAATTGTTCGTTCAATGATTCGTTACTCTACGACTCCTGAAGTATATATAAGATAATATCACCTCCTAATGTGCAAAATTTCATTTTGTTTATTTAAGACAGTTTTAATCTGTAATGTAATTTACCTGTTTAATCTATTATTTAATGTATAATACAATTTAACAAGAACACTAAA